ATATATACACAAACTGTGGCACATGGTGTCTCTGAAAAAAGCAACACACTCATTTAAAGGCTGCCCAGTACTGTCCCAGTCTTGCTGGACACAGATCAGTGTGGGCATACAATTTTGCTGGGACTATGCAGGGCTTGGCAGTGACATTTGCCACACTGCCACTGGCAACCATCTTGAAAAACTGGCAACCAAATCATGGCCTTTGGTTGCCATCAGTGGGAGTAACTTTTTAACATATAAAAACTATGGACGGCAAACAGCAAAACATGCATCCCAAATAAATAAGTTCTTTATATTTTAACTAGGCAACACTTCTGTGTGTTTATTCGTGCACAAAGCAAGTTTGGCTGTGAAGAAAAAAAAACAAATGTGAGACAAATATTTGGATGAGCCTTAATAAATAAGATAAGATAAAATCAGATAAAACACAAGCTACAAATAATTTTGTTATCACATTTTCATCATTAGGCTGGCATTTAATGGCATAGTATCGTACTAATATAGGGTGACTAAAAATGGCAACCATATAATCAGTTTTGGGAACCAAAAGCTGATGCCTGGTTGCCACTTTTAAAAGCTAATGTTGAGTCCTGCTGTGTGTGAGCATAAACAATATGTTGCATGTTATATACGTGTTTCAGAGATGTTTTGTAACGTGCTCCTTGTCTGACGATTCTCTTGGTTTTGTCGTGCAGGACGCATTTCTGGCCTGGAGGAGGAGGCACGTCAGCACAGACAGGCTCTGTCCAAAACTGAGACAGAGAAGAGACAGCTTCAAGAAAAACACACAGATCTGGAGAAGGTAAACCAGAGATGATAACTAATTTTTTAACCTCTTATGGAGTGTATTCTTCACCGAACATGGAAATAAGAAATAGTAATATTACGTTATTAGTATTTACCACCTTCCTCATGTTTGGGCACGCTCTCTTGTAATAATTGTAATGTCATATGAATACCTGGAAGAAGGAATTTAGACGTCCTGGACTGCAAATATGAGGAATGATTCTTCCCCAGTGTTCTTTGTCTTGGGTTATCTGGCATCAGTATAAAACATTTACATCATGATGTGGTTTGCTGCAGTGGAAGCATCATAACAGAGGACTGATAAATAATCTACAAACTGATTCAACAGGCTGCCTCTCTGACTGGTTTAAAGCCTCATTGGTGAAAGTTTACAACCGTTAGTGGCCTGACATTTACAAATAAGTTGCTGATTACATATAATTTAATGGGCACCATCTATAAAGAATTGTATTACACTTACACGGATCAGCTGGTGAGGTCCATTTGGTTGACTAAATAATTCAAAGGGCATATTGATCCTGAAGGTGAAGCTTTAAGGTCTGCAGAGAAGAACATTGACTAAACGGATGCTTAGTTTCATTCAGTGCTTCAGTTCTTTGATAATGATTTCAGATTATGTTCATTTAATGCTCCTATTCAGAGCTGTATTCTGCTGCAGGAAGTCTGAAGTGGACTGAGTTCAGCTTTTGGCATCAGGTCATTATGTTGTTGTGTTTGCCGGCTGAGTTTTGCTCTCAGGGTTTCATTGGTTTTATCCGAAAACCTCTGCCCTTGTTTCCCTCACGCAGGAGAAGAGCAACAAGGAGATTGATTTGACCTACAAGCTGAAGGTGCTGCAGCAGGAGCTGGAGCAGGAGGAGGCCTCTCACAAAGCCACCAAGGCAATGCTGGCAGACAAGAGCAAGATCAAAGAAACCATCGAGGGCGCCAAGTCAGAGTCCATGAAGGGTAAGGGGCACGAACCTTTCCTTTCAGGTTGCTCTCTTACGGACATCCTTGTTTACTTCAGCTGTCTGTTTCTCCTAGTTTGTACCATCACACATACGGTGTTGTGGAGAAGACATTGATTTGAGATTTGAACTTTGTGAAATAGTTTCGAACCAGTGGACATCTCTGACTTCACCTTTAGCACTTATGAGTCACACACAATGTGCATTTATTATTATAGCGTCACAAGTTTCACTATGGATTAACGCAACTTTAACACGTGAATATAATTTAACAACTCACATGCAGAGATAGAGCAGAAGCTGGCGGAGGAACGAGCAGCCAAACTTCGTCTGGAGAATCGAATTCTAGATCTGGAGAAGCACAGCAGCATGATGGACTGTGACTATAAACAGGCTCTGCAGAAACTAGATGAGCTACGCAGACACAAGGACCTACTAACTGAGGAGGTGAGTGTTTATATTCTCTGCGGGGGAACAGTGAAGTGTGTGTTTACATATTAATTGCCACCTACAGAAACAAATTATGCTTGTGCTAACAGCTTATGTAACAATGTGTCTGAGCTGTGGAGAAATGGCAGTGATTCAGCGGATACAAAAACAGTAAATACAGACAAAACCATAACAAAAGCAAAGTCAACGTTCTAAATAGGAGTGGGCGATGTAGCAAATTTATCTGATAACCTCGAATGTGATTTTATGTGTGATATGGCAGATGACCAGATTGTCACATCCAGATTCCTGGGGCATTTTAGCAGTTTATTTAAGCATGAAAAGCAAGCCAGGGTTATATGCTCTCCCTCTCACACACACAGACACCTCAAACAGATCAACCACACCCACCAGTTTGTCGATTATTACCCTGAGTTCAGGTTATTCAAAATGGAGGAAGATACCAGAGTGTGTCTATCATCTGAAGATGATGATGAAGATCCATCACTAACAGCACCACCCAGTGCAGAACGTCGCAGTCAAGCCTCTACTTAGAAAAAGATGGTCAAACTCGCCCCCATGTTGTTTTGTGTATGTGTATATACCAGGCATTACAGCAAGGGCATGTAAGAACTGACTTCAAAATAACAGCCCTCAGTTCATTCAATAAGTCAGTCAGTCTGCCGATAACAAATAAAAATACACATATAACTATAACTAAATGTATTAAATAATAAATCAAATTATCGATAATTAAAACTAGAGCCCAGCTATGAAACTTGGCCAGGGGCACAATGTGGGGGTAGCCAGTGGCCCTTGCTCGGACTATGCACATCTTCACACTTTTCATTTTGATCTTAACTACACATAAGTAAATTTTTGTGACTGTATCTTGCACGGTTGCGACACTATAGCATTGACAAAATCTGTCCACAGACAGATAGACACATTAATATCTGGCATAATACTGAAAACGGCATCTGTGGAAGTGTCTGCTGCCATGGATGCCACCAGGATCACATCTCATCATGATGACACTCACACACACACAGGTGAAAACAATACCAGCTGTGAGGATGTTGTTGTAGCAGGTAAAAATAACTACAGCCTGCAAACATTATTTCAGAGAGAAATTGATTTTCAGTCGTGAGAATAATTAATCAAACCTAATAATAAAGGATTCCTTTACAAAGATCAGTTTTATTTCAGAATGACAGCACACCACTTCAGAGTGTCACTCAGACAATACAAGGACATCCTGATGTGATATTTCAAAATTAAAAAGCCCTGTAAAATGTCATAAATGAGCTGTGTTCCCTCTAAATTCAGATTAATTTACATGAATGATCACACTGGTGATCCACAAAAACTCTGTCCTACTGTATCTGCGTCATTCTTCCAGGTGAAAAACCTGACGCTGAAGATTGAGCAGGAGACCCAGAAGCGTAACCTGACTCAGAACGACCTCAAGGCCCAGAACCAGCAGCTCAACTCTCTGCGAACTTCCGAAAAGCAACTCAAACAGGAGATGAATCACCTGCTTGACATCAAACGCAGCCTGGAGAAACAGAACCAAGAGTTGCGCAAGTCAGTTTTTAACATTTTGTATAACTGTTTTCTAGCATTCAGACTGAAGGCTTCATATTTTGACACAAAAAGGATGATGAGTAACAGGATGTTTTTATTTTCGACCGCAGAGAAAGACAGGACACAGACGGGCAAATGAAGGAATTACAGGACCAGTTGGAAGCTGAACAGTATTTCTCTGTGAGTCTTTATTCTGCTCTGTAATTACATATGTGGATGGAAAATGACTAAGCGCAGCACATTATGGTTCTGCATCTCGCTTGCTGAGTGTGTGGGCATTTCTTTTATTCAGTATTTATTGCAGGTTGGTCTGTGGTAATTTTTCATGTATTTTTATAATGATAAGGTAAACATTTCATGATTTGTGTAAATGCAATGTTGTAATGCTTAATAGAATCCAAATTATTTGTTTCCCTTTATCATAGTTTTATTTTATGGCTCATCTGTATGCATTGTGTGTATTTATTATAACTCAGGGAAGGTATTTGCCTTTTTGGAACTGTTTTGACTTCTCTAGTCTTCCCAGTGGAAACACACAGTAGTAGGCTGCTGAATTTATGAGATGCATGGAAGTAAAGAATTGCATCACAATGTGTGATAATGTATTACCTGTGACTGCAAGGTGTTTTTGACCTATTTGCTGTGTTCTCCAGACACTGTACAAGACCCAGGTTCGTGAACTGAAAGAGGAGTGTGAGGAGAGGAACAAACTCTACAAAGATGTGCAGCAGTCTCTGCAGGAGCTTCAGGAGGAGAGGTGCTTTGGCTGTTTGAAAATACGATACCTCCTTTTAATCCACTTTGATAGTGGTGCACTGAACATGAACCAAAACCAAGACAAATTCAGGATGCAGCAGTCACTTAATTTATATCTCTGGATGAAACATTTATATTCAGAGTTTGTGATTAATAGTGTCAGATTTTCATTTGTTATTTCATGTCTTTTAGGGATTCATTGGCAGCTCAGCTTGAGATTACACTGACAAAGGCTGACTCAGAGCAGCTGGCGCGCTCCATCGCTGAGGAGCAGTACTCAGACCTGGAGAAGGAGAAGATAATGAAGGAGCTGGAGCTGAAGGAGATGATGGCCCGCCATCGTCAGGAGCTATCGGAGAAGGATATCACCATCAGTTCGGTGAGTTGCATCAACTCCTGTCTCCTGCTTAATTTATGTGATCTGAAAGGGTCTGATGTGTTGTTAAGAAGCTGTTCATTACATTTATCACATGTATCGCATCACATCAGATAAAGAGGAAAGCTTGCCTTATTACTAAGAAATAAAATATAATGTACAACAACAATAAATTATAGAACCAGCACATTCTCAACTTTTGAATTGGGGGTGTATGAGGTACTTATCATAGTCAGTGTATTGCATACAGTAGATGTCAGTTTGGAGAAGCAGGAAAGAGTCTGACAACGAAGCTAGGTAAGTACTGCTGTGGAGGGGTCAGGAACAAAACATTTTAGCCACCTAAAAAAGTCAGTATCAGTTTAATTGTACACTATATTTAGAATATTTTTTACTGCTTACGCTTGCAGTCAGACAGGGATTTCTGATGGGGAGATGAAGCTGTTATGCCGCTCTCATCAAAACCAGACTCCACTGAGAAAAACAGTGATTTAATATCGCTCAACACAGGAGCTGCTGGTCTACTGCTGCCTCAGTTTGTTGTATGATTGTGTGATTTTGTCGTTTAAAAGAGTTAGTTTGGATTTACCAAAGTCACACAATAAGACAAATTAACCAACTGATCAAGGCAGTGGTACCCAGCAGTTCCTGTGTTCAACGAGCTAAATTATTATTTTTGTCAATGGAGTCTGGTGGCATTAACAAAAGCATAGACGGGAAACTGAAGCTGTCCGCAGCAACGTAACTGTATATGACACACTGGCTATGGATAAGTACTCCGTACAACCGCGATTCAAAAAATCTGAACTATCCATTTAAGAGGTTGAGGTTGGACAACAGATGGCATCGGCAGGCAGCATGGTAAATATGATGGTATTTCCTGCTTCATGCAGCTGGAGGAAGCCAACAGGACCCTGACCAGTGATGTTGCCAACCTAGCCAATGAGAAGGAGGAGCTGAACAACAAATTGAAGGAGGCAATAGAAGGTAATTGATGTGCTTAAAATACAACTTAAATTTTTACTGTAAGTAAAATATTGGCATGGTTATTTATTATTTTTGTGTGTCTTTTCTTTTCCAGAATCAGAAAAGTCAAAGGACTGGGAGCAGCAGATCAGCCAGATGAAGCAGGCGTTTGAGAAGCAGCTGCAGTCAGAGAGGACGCTGAAGACTCAGGCATGTTTTTTAAACATCACTACTAATCACACCATGCATGTGCTTCATTTTCAGCCACTTAAATACACTTAGACAGCAACTTGAGAGGTTTTGATACAAAATTAGAAGGGCTAATGTTAGAGAAGGCTCTGGGTTATTTCTTCAGGAAGTGCCTCCCATCAGATCTAGACAACTCTGAAAACAAGCTGAAGCATGAGATGTGGTAAATGTGGTGCTCATGTCTGTCTACAGGCCGTCAATAAGCTGGCAGAGATCATGAACAGGAAGGAGGTTCGTGGCGGAGGCAGTCGCCGTGGTAACGACACAGACATGCGGCGAAAGGAGAAGGAGAACAGGAAGCTGCAGTTGGAGCTGAGGTCGGAGAAGGAAAAATTCAACAGCAGCATCATCAAATACCAGAGAGAGATCAACGAAATGCAGGCGGTCAGTAGGACACTCACTGTTTCATTTTACACAGCGTGGTGGCACCAGCGCTCTGACTTCTGTTGTCTCTCCCTTCAGTAACAACAGGCTGAGCCAGCATGTGCAGCAGTATCACTCCCTCTTCAATGTATTTGACTGCACTTTGTTTTCTGTTGCCTTTTTTTTTTTTTTTGTAGCAACTGTCAGATGAGAGCCAGATGCGTATTGAGCTGCAGATGGCCCTGGACAGTAAGGACAGTGACATCGAGCAGCTGAGGAACCTCCTGCAGACACTCAGTGTTCAATCGATGGACTCCGCCAGTGTCAGCAGTGGGCCAGAGTTTGACACTGATGATGCGTTCACAGGTGAGAGCTTCACCACTGAGTGAACACAGTGGTCATGTGAAAATATTAGTCCTGCACGAATCAGCTTCTCTGTGATTTGGGGTCACATGTTTTTTCATAGCGGGGTTTTTATATTTTATCCACACCTCGTTTCTGCCTCTTTCCTGGTCAAGAATTACGGAGGCTGCGTTGGCAATTATAAATGAACATTTTGACAGCCTTTTGGGTGCAAATTCATCCCACACAGCACTTAGAGAGAGTGTGTCGGTGTGTGTTCAATGCCTGTTTTACTTGTTAGCATCAACTGCTCTTGTCATTCAGGAAGTGGATGTTAGGCAGAAGTTTGAAGTAAATTTAATTAAAATACAGACTAATCCCGTGTGAATTTGCCACACGAAACACAGATGTGGGTAATTTCCAAAACACCAGTTTCCCTGATAATATTAGTCCCATGTGAATAGGGCTTAAAAGGTAAGTTAGATGAGGAATTGGGTTTTGAGGGAAATAAAACAAAGTAATACTGAAAGCTTTTGTATACTAGTGGCTGAAAAAATCTAAGTGTCATCTTTTCTTTCACTACATCACGGCTGCTGCTGCTGCCACTGTACAACTCAGCATTTTGTGTGTGTAAATGTTTTGCTTACAATGCACCTCTATTTGATAAATGCAGTTATAAAAAAGAATTGGATTAGACCTTACACAGTTTGTAAAGATACACAGCTGGCGGAGGTCGATCAAAATTGATTTCATTCCTGCGGTGTGAATACAAGCAGCTCAAATAAAATAAAGACGGCCAACCTGTATTTTAGTCGGTTGGAAAACACTGACAGCTTATCATTACAGTATGCTTACTCACTGTAACTTCCACGTCTTTCTCTGTCCGTCTCCCACTCAGAAACGAGGCTGGAGGGCTGGCTCTCGCTCCCTGTCAGAAACAACACCAAGAAGTTTGGATGGGAGAGAAAGGTACAGTGTGTAAAGTTACTTTGATGATGTACAACAGTCTCTCCTTGATTTAACGTAACCTTAAGCATGTCTGTTGTGTTGCTGCAGTATGTTGTGGTGAGCAGCAAGAAGATTCTCTTCTACAACAACGAGCAAGACAAAGAGCAGTCCATTCCCTACATGGTGCTTGATATTGAGTGAGTGTAACACCTAATGTTCCTCCGCTGAGAAGACAACCCAGTGTCAGTTTGAGTTTGTTTCATTAATTCCTGCAGGAGCTTTTGTTGTTGAGTGGAGATGCAGCTGACTTGTTGTGATGAGGGGACACTAATGTATTCTTTCTCTTCACGCAGCAAACTCTTCCATGTGAGGCCTGTCACGCAAACGGATGTGTACCGTGCTGACGCCAAAGAGATTCCCAGGATATTCCAGGTCCGTCTCAGCATCACTTCAATAGTTTTAATGCTGAATTTTAAAAAATATACCACAGTATCTTGAATTTGAACTTCTCAATGATCAATAATGATTTTTGTTTAGTATCAAAAGCGCAAATTCAGGCGAAAAAAATCCTCATTATCCTCACTCTATATCGACTTTCCAGATTCTTTATGCCAATGAAGGCGAGAGCAAAAAGGAGCCAGAGTTTCCCGTGGATCCGCTGCCTATCGGAGAGAAGTCCAGCTACATCTGCCACAAGGGCCACGAGTTCATCCCCACGCTGTACCATTTCCCCACCAACTGTGAGGCATGCACCAAGCCGCTGTGGAACATGTTCAAGCCGCCGCCTGCTCTGGAGTGCCGGCGCTGCCACATCAAGTGCCACAAGGACCACATGGACAAGAAGGAGGAGATCATCGCTCCATGCAAAGGTACGATGCGTCCCATCTGGAATTATCTATGAACAGACTGATTTATTCATGCAGCCTTAATGTTGCCAATAAAGGTAGCTAAAGACTATAACTGAAAATGTGACATCTCTCCCACCACCAGTGAACTACGACGTGTCTTCGGCCAAGAACCTGCTGCTGCTGGCCGTGTCCCAGGAGGAGCAGCAGAAGTGGGTGAGCCGACTGGTCAAGAAGATTCCTAAGAAGCCCCCACCACCAGAGCACTTTGCGCGCTCCTCTCCACGTGCCTCCATGAAGGTCCAGCCCAGTCAGTCCATGAGGAGGCCCAGTCGACAGCTCCCCACCAGCAAGAGCAGGTAGCAGAGCACACAAGATCATATACAAACAGTTTTTGCTTTCTGGACAAGCTGTAAACAGAAGGGTCTGTCAGTAATTTATACCTATAAGATTTGTAATGTTCTGTTTGTTTGTATGAAATGTTGGGATATGCAGGAGGTCTTTAGTGAGGCAGAGAATAGATGGTGGGTTTTAATATACACACACAAACATTCTTGAGAATTAGGACAAATCATGTTCTACCAAAAAACAGCCTTAAAATTCTACCTTATCAACACACTAATTCTGTTTTTGGGGTGAAATATGATTTTTAAGGGACTTATTTATATGAAATAATATGATTTATAACATATTTCTATCTGTTTCTGACACTTTCATTATAATATTGATGTCGTTTTCCACACATTCCACCATAGGAAGTGGTTGGTTTTTTTTTTTTTCTCCTTCAATTTTGGGGAAAAGGTGAAGTGAAAGTCTTAAATTTAACTTTCCTTAAGCTGAAGGTACCCTGATCGAAAAAGAAACATTTTTTAAAGTTATTGTGAGGGAACACAAAAGAAGTTCTGGAAAAATATCATACTTAAGTTTTCTGAATCTTTTGAAATGAAAATTCTCAAATGTAAATATCCTGAATATTTACCACTGTTAGCTCCTGGCCTTTTCAGTCCAGGTGGTATAAGTTTCATCTGTTTTCAGAGCCACCAAATCTAAGAAAAAGCAAAGTTCATATTCTATGCTCAACCTGTGTGAAAGCTAATGGTGTGAAACCCCAAAGGCTGTTATGTTTATGCAGTGGAGCTGTTCGTGTAGAGGAGTATAAAGCCCGAATCTAGAGTTCAGTGAGAGGTGTTTTTGTGTGAGAAAGTGAGTGAGCCTGCAGAGAATGAGAGCCTGTTTTCAGTCTCCACTCTGCTCAGTCTTGTGTTTCTCAGCATAATAATACACAACACCACAGTCTCTTTGATGGGGAACGGTATCCAACCCTACACTTTAGAACAGTAGACTTTGGCTACCAGTCTGTGTGTGCAGCAGTTGTTGCCTGGCCATCAAAACTAATCTCCTCTTTCAGATTGGAGGACTTTGGTCTTCAGGACTGGCACTGGGCATTGGATGATATCGATGACGATTGTTCTTCTATTCATTTCTGATGAGCATATATGGTAACACTGTGTGCAGTGTGTGCTGTGCAGTGTGTTGATTTCAGTTGCAGTGGAACGCTGTTTCCACGGGGCATCGATTTATAATCACTGCCTTTTCTCTGCTACCTTGAAAAACGTGAGATCCATACTGTTACTTAGGGTGGTAGCCGAGCACAAAGTCTACACAAGACTAAACTTGAAAGCTGCTGAGGATAATGGTGCTTTTCCCTAGTCACATAATCCTGCTAATGTCCTTAAGCATGTCCCATCCACTGTCGCCTTATGTCCTCTGACCTCAACCCTTGCAGGTCAAATGGCTTCAGAATGAAGGAATCCAACAGTGGACTCACACAGTGGTACAAATGACGACTTCTCCCACCTTGTTCCTCCTTTGCCCAGATGTTTCTCTATAAACGACTCAATCTTTGAATGTGTGTATAAGTGTTTTACAACCAAAAGGTGTCTTTTGGTGTCCACAGTCCTGGTTGTCAGTTTGTGATGGTGGTGGGCTGTGTCCACATATGTTGGTCCTAGTGCACATGCTTGTTTGGGTTCCTCGGTTGCTCACTTGATAGCTTGGATCACCTCTCCACTGGGTGTTTTTAATTAACGCAGATACATTGTCGTCTGGGTTGAAACAGAAATTTTTTTAAGGATATGTTTGCAGTAATTTAATGTCTCCATAATGTTAATTATCCCTGTGAGTGTATGTATCTCAGCCACGATTCCTGAAAAAACAAATTTAAGAAATCTCTATCATGTAATATTTTTTATATGTAGGATTTATTTGGTATCTATGAAAAATTCTATTGACAGATGATTACATACAGTAGGATCTTGAGTCATTGTGAAATAAGTGAGTTGTGCACATAGACTGTATAAAAATAATGGACATAACCACCGTGAATTCACCCATTTTGGTTTGTGGATTACTGCTTTGACACCTTGAGTTCGGCATTTTGGCCGTCACCATCTTGGTTTTTTGGAGCCCGCAGTAACCGTATTTGGATGGGAGGGAGAGGCTGCCATTGATGCACATTGCTACATCTCTGTCCTGATTGACAGATTATTGTGGTAGCCATCACAAGGTAGCCACCCCTTAAACGATAACCCTGCTTCATTTATAGACTATTTTATTCTAATTGGGACCATAATTTACAAAGTGAACACCATGCTGTATTGAAGGAGACTAGAAACTATAGATTGAAACCATAAACTCATTAGGAAAACGTTCACTGAGGTATTAAGTCAAGAGAAAAGTAGGGTCATTTTCTCATTGACTTGTTTGTAATTGGACCTCTTTTTACAACCAGTGGAGTCGCCCCCTTCTGGCCATTAGACAGAATGCAGGTATATGGCTTCGGGTCCGCTTTTTTTTTTATAGTCTGTGCTTGTGCAGGATTCATTAGTATGACTCATATCCTATGAGGACAAGCTGTTTGTACTCCTCTCACCACATCATAGGTATTTGCTGAGACTAATCTTGCACCTGTTTCTCTCTTCCCCCAGTTAACCTTGCTTTGGGAGTGTGTCGCCTCCTCGAGGTGGTGGGGTGTGTGTCCTCGAAAATCAAAGACTATACAAAGCTGTGTTTGCAGATCAGCACACCGAACTCCACATCACTTCTCCACAACCCACCCTGTCGTGCTTCAGCCTGTGAGAGTTACAAAGTCTGTTTTCCCCCGTTTCGTTGAACTTCTTTCCCAGGCACTAGAAGCGCTAACGACTATCAAACTCACCTTAACACCTGTGATCTTTTCACCGAGCTGGATGGCTTGTAAGCACATTAGCCGAAGTCTTCTCTTGGGCCCTTAACTAGAGCAATTAAGTGTCTCTGGGGGTTGGAGGAGCTTGTTCAGCTCCCACAGAACAGAAGAGAGCTCTTATTAGCCCGACCTGGGCTGGCAAAGAGGGGATACACTTACCTCAACACTTCTCACCAGGACACACTGTCTGATTGAAGGACCCAACAGGAAAACTCTCAACTCCTCCTCACCACCTTTGGGGATTCTTGTGGCCAAATAAAGAAAGACATTCTTGTGTTTAATGATTGTTAACAATATGAAGGGTTTAATGGGGAACACTACACTCAGAAGATAGTAAATTTTGTAATTTGTTGGCTGCATACAGCTGAGATTGTTGAACTTGATCCCAGATACAGTATCTGTACTTTGGCTTATTCAAACTCTTTAACATATTGATTGTAGCTTCTTGCTTCCCACGATTCTGCTTTCAGGTGCGCGTCCACACGGGTCACAGAAACTTGAATGAGGTACTTAAGCAAACCAGCTGTTGGGAAAGAGTGTCATATGGCTCCAGGATTTGAGTAAATAATTCCTTGAGTGCCTCTTATTCAGATTTCTGACTCGGTCACGCTCTGAATCACTGGTTTGTCGTTGTGTGACTACAGTAAAGGTTAGAAGTGAACAGAATCCTACTCTGAATGGCGTTAGATGAAGAACCAGACATAAGATCCTCGTAATCCCATAATATTCCAAACCTGCACTGTCAGTTATGAGGGTTAATGTTTACTGAACTCAAGGGGTGCACCGTTATGCTTTTCTGATCCGAGCTCGGCTCCTTTTGTTGTTTGAATGTACATCTGGGCTTTACCAGAGACGACACGCAGGCATTGTATTACTTCTATCCAAATATACTTGACTGAAGCCCCCTTTAATCACCAACTACTCCTGAGTGAACTTGCATGTGTTTGCCTTTTCAGGCCTCACACTTAAGTGCTGTCACCCACAGGCCTGCACCTGTTAGACATGTAGTTTTTAGCATTGAAAATTTGGGGACTTGACCAATAAGAAGCAGAAACAATGAAGGTATGCAGTCATAACCCATGAGTCAAAATACTGAGCAGCACTATTCCATTGAAAGTTTTTCTAAAAGTGTTTGTCCTGATATTTTTGTATTAAAAGTAACCAAACTCTGAGTTTGGGCACATTGTTGTGTATGTGGCTTACATAGCAGGTGGAGAGCAACTATGTGTGTGTGCGTGTGTGTGTGCGTGTGTACTGAGTGCTCTCCTTTAACCAAGAAGCATGTTTTATACATATAAATATACACAGTATATATTTTACATGCCATACAGTGCACATTATATTATTTATACAGCCTTGTCCACTTTGTATTTAAGGGCTCTACATCCAGATTGCATGTTTGCTACCAAACAGCTCTATAGTAATAACTACTTCAACAATAAAGACATGGATGTGCCTTTTGGTTTCGGATTATTTTTCTGCCTTCAAAAGAAATGTGTTGGAAGCTTTAATTCTGTACATGTGCACAACGACTTTGCTGATTTTCTGGGTGTGTTTTCAATGCATGACACTGAAATCACAGCTGTGTGAGAAGCTGTAATGTTTGCTTTATTAAAATAGGTAAGAAAAGCTTTTCAAAATACAGTATTTCAAATCCTGAGAAAGAAGATCTCGCTTACACTTGGCTTGTGCTGTCCTATCTAATAACTACATTTTGTCACATACAGTATGAAAAAACACTGGTTTCTGCTGTCACTACACGCAGCAGATTATCAGTCACTGGAATGTTATAAAAAAAAGGTGTGTGGGTTCAATACTGACGTGAAAAAACATTAGAAAAAGCACATTTTATGAGTCAGTATTACAAAAGCTGCTAACATAACCGTTGTTACTCGTCAGGTTTGTGTTTCAGCCCTGGCTGTGTCCAGAGTAACCCAGTAATCCCTGCTGAAACAGAGCTGGAAGACATGGGAGTGAACTGCAGATTTAAAGCTTAGTCCTCTTTCTTGGATCTGCCGCCGTTTCTCTGGTAGTAGAGCACAGTGAGCAGCACCCACATGTTGAGCGAAGTCATGGCAATGAATCGCACCAGAACTGTGACAAAGAGAGAGATTATATTTTACATACTTATGCTTAAAAACTTTATAAAGATTCAGTCACACTTACATCAAGAAACTGTTTTTGGCATCACAAAACAATGAGCTGAGGATGTGCAAGTTAAAAGGTGCTAAAGTGAATGTCCCTTGGTGTGCCAAGAGCTGACAATAGCCCCAAAGGCAAAATGACAAAAGCTGACACAATGGCCACAAAACATCCACAAAGAGACACATAATGGCCTCAAAGAGACACAAATTGACTACGAAGAGGTGCAAAACAACTACAAAGACATCCAAAATGGCAAAATGACAACAGAGACAAAACAGCTACAAAGAGACAAAATGGCAACAGAGACACAAAACTGCCTCAGACACAAAACAACCACAAATGGATGTAAAACGGGTACAAAGAGACATAAAACAGCCTCAAAGAGATGCAAAATTGCCACAAAGAGACACATAACAGCTCTAAAGACTACAAGGAGATACAAAAGGGCAATAAAGAGACACAACAACCTCAGAGACACAAATGTAACACAAATAGTTGTAAAACAGACACAAAATGGTCACGGAGACATAAACAGAAACATAAAACAGCCTCAAAGATATGCAAAATGGCCACAAAGAGACACAAAACAGCTACAAAAAGAAAACTATTTATATCCCCATTAATCCTGGCTGTCTCGCTCTTTCGTTGGATGCCTTTTATATGTCTGTGCCCAGACATAATCCATCCATGCTTTGGTGTCAAATGGAAAACTCTCTTTCCAAACTAAGAAATTATGATAGCAGGTTCTATTTCATATTTTACACCACGTGTACTGCATTTTCTCCCTTGTAAACCTGAAATATACAAACCTCATCCCAAATTAGCCTTTAAAGACACAGATACTATATGAGCAACCAGAAGCTACTATCTTATGGAAATTCCACTTCCATCCCTCCCACTGCACATCCTTACCCTCGTAGCAAAACACCAGGCCACAAAAAAAATCCTGTACTCATGTTAAACTATGATGATCATTATTTAGGAAACAAATCTTTTTAAATTGTTCTTTTAGAGATGTTTATAGAGTTTGTAAAATTCCTGTGTGGGACACCACACATCCCACTGTCATTTGTAATTCAGGCTGACTTACCCTGCGTGTCTCCGGTTGTCACTGTGGTGGTGTAAATCCGCGCTGAAACAAAGAGGAAGCCCAGTTAAAGACATCCTCATTATCAAAGAGAACATCTAATATTTAATTAATGAAGCTTGGAATTTGTAATTTATTAAATGAGGAGCAGAGTAAATAGCATTATACATATTCATGAACAGGAACATTACAGTAACAGCACTGTGGGGAAAAGAAATAGTCCCAGAAATTGGTTACACATTAATGAATTTATTAGGAATGCTGAACACGAGGGTTAGACTGACAAGAGGGTGATATTTATTTAAAAAGTGGAGATCGACCTTTCTGAAACAAGCTGTATTTATTGTATCCCAGATTACTCTGGGTATTTAGACTACATTAACCTGAATTAATTGATTCTGAGACACGCTCCAAAGGTATAGCTCAAATAGGTTTATTATCAATGTGCTACTTATTGTGTGGTCCATACATGACTTTGTTATTATCAGTATTAGTTTTAGTGACCGCACAGTGATCACAAGCTTTCAAAACCTGCTGATAATATAATGTCTTGGCATTTAAACCTGCTGCAATCAATATTTTAAATATAATAACAATTGATCCCACTGAGATTTATCACTATCTTATCTTTCACCTCATCCACCTACTGTTGTGCTTCACCCCAGGGTGGCTGTGGGTCCTTAAAAAGTCTTAAAATACCTTTAATAAACATTAATTAACAAATGGTCTTGAAAAGTAATAAGTTGCCTTCAATTCAGATTGCATGTCTTTTATGTTAAATAGAAAAAACTTTATTCATCCCGAAGGGAAATTAAGCTGTCCAGCAGCTTATAAAAACAACAACATTTGATATTAAAATAGACATAAAATAAAATGTTAAAATAAGTTAAAAAATGTTGGCACGATGCGTAAAAGTTAATTTATACTTCTGTGTCGTCGTAGAGCCTATGCCATAACCTATGTAACCTGTTGTCCCTGGTTTTATATTAGACAAGGAAAAGATCGCTAGATGCTAGGCTAATTTATACAATCTAAAATGCCATAGGCTTGTGCTAGTAACGTTAGCATGTTATATTTGTTTGGAAAACGCATTTAGTGTAGTGGTAGTGATTTTGTCGGTGAATCTTGTGAGTTGTAATGGAGTAAATTGTGTGCCGTTACCTTTGTTAAATGTTGCCCACTAGTTGCTAGGCTAATTAATACATTGTAAAATGCCATAGACTTGTGCTAATAACGTTTGCATGTTGCATTTGTAGGGAAAATGTGTCCAGATAAAGACAAGTGTTTGTCTGTGAATGCTGCAAGTTATAATGAAGCCAATTTGTGTACTTGTTCAGCCATATTCAATGTGTGTTTAAGGTGTGTTTTGAATCAACTAAACTTTACAGCACTTAATAGAAACCTCCACCGCCAACTAGTGTTGTGGAGGTGTAACTGCAGAGTGACACAGACACACCACAGCACGTTAAAATGCTCACAACGGTGAAGGTGAAGTGTGTAGACTACGTGCATAGGGTCTATGCACAACCATAAATCCCCTTTAACGCAAATTTAACACAGGAGAGAATTGCTATTCAACAGGGGGAACAGACTTCGACAAACCCCATTAAAAAACAAAACAAAAAAAAACATGTTTTTGGGCATTTAGATGATGCAATGAGTCTGCACCATTAAACTACAACTTGCTGGCTAGCCTGCTTGTAGGTTTATTTTTTCTGTCCTTTAACAGAGAATATCATCAGTGTCGCTTTACCCTTCTGTTCATTTTGAACTGACATTGATGCGTTTACATGGAAAGAGTATTTTTTCACTTTTGGTGTGTATTTCCATTAAAAGTTTGGTCTAGATATTTCTAAGTTGTTCCTGTTCTAAAGTAACAGTATTGGGAAACTGGATAGGTGAAAGTGCAACATCCAGGACTGCTTTGTTCTCATGCCCTATATGTGATACTCACCCATACATGTGTAGGTAGCCATGGCCCAAGTGAGGGCGCTAACCTGTCCAGCGTCTTTCGACCTCCACAGGCACTGCAGCTGGGCAAATTTACTGGCTGCACTGATGAATGTGCACAAGCTCTGAGAAGACAGTGGAAGTCAGACTGAATACACATTTAGTCTCCAGTGTTTCTCTGTGTTCATGTAACATCATGACCTGTGAAACTCTACAGCTCAGCTTAAAAGTTTCAGATATTCTCTGTAGCCTGCGACAACTCAAACTTTTAGGGAAACAGTCGCAGGATCACTGCGCTCACCTATTTATATGCAAATACATATTCAGACACATTCATCTCATTAACCAGCACGACCATTTGGCATTTATAAGGTCTGGGTGTCTTCCTGAGACGCACTAGGTGCAATGAGGTCTGGATAACTTTCTGTTCAGAGCTCCACATCATTACTCCTGACTGATGATGTGCCATCTCTTTGCTTACTTTGTGACATGCTGTGACTTATGATTGATGTTGAACTGATTTATTACCATAGCCAGATCGATGATCCACTTCTCCACAGTGAGGAGCCTCCAACCTCCGACAAACCTGAGCACATTAGGTTAAGGCAATAACACGTGACATACTGTAAGAGGTATTGACAGAGGCTGACGGGTCATTGATTGTCTTCAGCACTGAATGAACACTTTCCCATGCGGGGCTATATGAAAGTGATGAAAGGATACAGCAAGGTGTAGATGAGGCTCTGTCGCAGGCTGCCGTTATAGTGAAGAATCAGGAGCAGGAGGAAGGCATCTGAGGACACAGGGAAGGTTATAACGCGTGGGCTGCATGTTTCACAGCACTGAGTTTGATTTCAAGGAGCTCTGACAGCTCTTACTGTCAGTTTAACTCACCCAGACACTAACATCTCTGGTTTACAGACTGGGTCTACAGACACGTAACATATCTGAGACCTACATTGTTAAGACATCAGTAACAGGCCTCTATGGGCTGCTCTGGAGACTCAAGTACAGTGCTAGTTACTAATGGAGATCAATAAAGGTCATAGTCAGTTCAATGCCTCTTTAAATTAAGACCATGTCAAGTCATTTGTTCCCACACAACACATGATTACTGTGGTAGTAGAATTTTTTACATGACATCAGCTACAGCCCACGTCAATCATGAGGATGATGTATTGATTTTCTGTCAGACCCTTGTTGCCATGACAAGATAAGCTCATGTGTCTGAGCTCTTAATTTAATTATTTCACCAGACAAAGTCTAGTCCAAAC